TGGTTAGTCGGGGTGAGGCTGGTCTCAAGCATACTAACAAACCTGTATCTTGGTCAGCACGCAGAGGTCAGCTTCGTACACAGTCATCTACACATGTTTCACATCACAGCAGTCACATCGCTCCACAGAACCGCTTCCTCACGTGTGTAGTTAGCCTTGCCTCAAGACTGTACTGAAAAAGTAGTCCACGGATGTGTAGTAATTCTATCCTCCTAATAAGGAAGTCTAGATATGTGGACAGAACAAGGACAGTCTAAGGACTCAAGTCTCTTAGAGGGACAACTTGTTCTTATCATTTACATAATCTAGAATTATTATCTTAAATACTTATTATTGCCTTAGTTTAGTGCAAGACTAGTGGAAAGTCAACACAGTGAGTGAGTGGGTGGGTGAGTCGGAAAGTCAGTCGGTGGGTGAGTGGGTCAGTCAGTAGGTAGGTGAGTGGGTCAGTCAGTCAGTGGGTGAGTCGGTCAGTCAGTCAGTCGATGGGTGAGTGGGTCAGTCAGTCTTTGGGTGAGTCAGCCAGTCAGTCAGTCGGTGGGGCAGTCAGCAGGTCAGTCTGTCAATCAGTTGGTCAGTCATCGGTGATTCGGTCAGTCAGTTGGTGGGTGAGTCGGTAAGTCAGTCGGTGGGTGAGTTTGCCAGTCAGTCAGTCGGTGAGGCAGTCAGCAGGTCAGTCTGTCAATCAGTTGGTCAGTCATCGGTGATTCGGTCAGTCAGTTGGTGGGTGAGTCGGTAAGTCAGTCGGTGGGTGAGTCGGTTTGTCAGTTGGTGGGTGAGTTGGTCAGTCAGTCGGTGGGTGAGTGGGTCAGTCAGTCGGTGGGTGAGTGGGTCAGTCAGTTGGTGGGTGAGTGGGTCAGTCAGTCGGTGGGTTAGTCGGTCAGTCAGTCGATGGGTGAGTGGGTCAGTCAGTTGGTGGTTGAGTCGGTCAGTCAGTTGGTGGGTGAGTTGGTCAGTCAGTCGGTGGGTGAGTGGGCCAGTCAGTCGATTGGTGAGTGGGTCAGTCAGTCGGTGGTTGAGTGGGTCAGTCAGTCGGTGGGTGAGTCGGTAAGTCAGTCGGTGGGTGAGTCGGTAAGTCAGTCGGTGGGTGGGTCAGTCAGTCAGTCGGTGAGGCAGTCAGCAGGTCAGTCTGTCAATCAGTTGGTCAGTCATCGGTGATTCGGTCAGTCAGTTGGTGGGTGAGTCGGTAAGTCAGTCGGTGGGTGAGTCGGTTTGTCAGTTGGTGGGTGAGTTGGTCAGTCAGTCGGTGGGTGAGTGGGTCAGTCAGTCGGTGGGTGAGTGGGTCAGTCAGTTGGTGGGTGAGTGGGTCAGTCAGTCGGTGGGTTAGTCGGTCAGTCAGTCGATGGGTGAGTGGGTCAGTCAGTTGGTGGTTGAGTCGGTCAGTCAGTTGGTGGGTGAGTTGGTCAGTCAGTCGGTGGGTGAGTGGGCCAGTCAGTCGATTGGTGAGTGGGTCAGTCAGTCGGTGGTTGAGTGGGTCAGTCAGTCGGTGGGTGAGTCGGTAAGTCAGTCGGTGGGTGAGTCGGTGGGTGAGTCGGTCAGTCAGTTGGTGGGTGAGTCGGTAAGTCAGTCGGTGGGTGAGTCGGTACGTCAGTCGGTGGGTGGGTCAGTCAGTCAGTCGGTGAGGCAGTCAGCAGGTCAGTCTGTCAATCAGTTGGTCAGTCATCGGTGATTCGGTCAGTCAGTTGGTGGGTGAGTCGGTAAGTCAGTCGGTGGGTGAGTCGGTCAGTCACTCGGTAGGTGAGTCGGTAAGTCAGTCGGTGGGTGAGTGGGTCAGTCAGTCAGTCGGTGAGGCAGTCAGCAGGTCAGTCTGTCAATCAGCTGGTCAGTCATCGACGAGTCAGTCAGGAATATTGGGACAGCGATATCATAGGATGGACATCCCATCATCATTCCGAGAGACTCAAGTGCTGCTGAGAACATTTCACAGTGATGACCATCAGTTGGTGCACAATTACCATCTATCTCCATTAACTTCAAATCTGCCTCCTCAGCAGTTTCTAACTTGCCCGGACGCGGGGCTAGGTGTGTTGTTGTATTCGGTTCAGGAAATAGATATTCTTGTGGCTTAAGCTATCGAACATCCATCATACGTTTTTTAAGCACTTCATGACATTTACTGAAATAACAAACCGATCCTTCTGTGTGTTGATACCCAGGAAGCCAAATCGAGTTCTCACGACGGCAACGGTCTGGCCATTGTATATCTCCAGAACGTCAGTTAAAAAGCCAGGATACCTATCTGGAATGCATTTGGCACACTGCAGGGAACATGATGCCAGGCTGACTTGCAGGGAAACACGTGTTGAAATTATTTGAGACCTGTTTGCTTTCAATAATTGTTTTTCCTTTAGGAAATGGTAGATTTGTGTTCGATCGATCGCGAGGGAGAGGCTGCAGACACGCACCTGTTTGATCCTGGAGGAGACTGGCAGAAACGGAGGATGGTAATTACTGGTAATGTACAGGTGTCACAACCGTTTGGTCTGGTTACTGTTATCAGCGGTTGTCGTTTATATAATAACAGGTATAGAAGTGTTCATGAAACAGTGTTTGATATTCTCCAGGGCCAACGTAGATCTTCCTGGAAGATTCCTTTTGTCTGTCTTACAGAACCCGAAACAAATATATCATAGTCCAAGCAAGTCTATAACCGTTGGCAAATCTAGATTACTGCATCTTACCGAGGCAAGGGTGTTAACTGACTACAAAAGTCCAGTTTCCATCCCTGCCGAACAACGCTGGAATTTCGTGGCTACTACGATTTGTGTTCTATATATGTTCCTCCTATTGACCAATCAGATTCCACATCTAATATTACTTGCATTTACTTCAAACAAAATGACGTCGCCCAGTCAAGACGATCTGGTCGATAATCAAGATCTGTATTGTAATGAAACGGGTCTTACCTCGCGGAGTGCATCAAATCATGTGAGCACCTTGATTAAAAACATGAAAACATTTGAAAATATCTGTCGACGCCCGGTTGACGATACACGTGCTTTGCAAATCCTGCAGTAGATCGAAATCTGCACGTTGAAATCCATGTTGTTTACGAACCGGATGTTTGATTTTGACTGGACAATGCATAGACTCGTTAGTCCAGCCAAAATGTAATTCCGAAATTCCAACCTTGTTCGGCAAGGGTAGAAACGAAGCAGTTTACGAACCGGATGTCGATTTCGTTACGCGATTTTGATTGCACTATGCATAGACTCGTTAATCCAGCCAAAATAGATCTCCATAGTTCGGCAAGGGTGAAACCTTTACTTTTGCAGTCAGTTAACCCCTTGCCTCGGAGAAAAGAGTACTGCAGCTTCTGAAAATGGTGAGTCTCTGAGAGTCTCTTTTATAATATTGTAATAAGATAATTTACAACGTCTCCTTCTGTAGATCATTTTCATTTCAGAGACATTTAAGGCTTCAGTTCCTTTATTTATATCTACCTTTATTTCACAATTTCCAATCCCGAATATGCGGCATTTAACGTAAAACTTTCTCTATTTTCCCCATGTTAAAACTGTCATTGCGTCCGACACTGTCATACTTCTGAGATGCTGCTAAAAATCAGCGTGGAAACCTACCCACTTACTATCCATAGTTTATGTTTTTTGTTTGTTTGTTGTTTAACGCCACACTCAGAAATATTCCAGCTATATGACGACCGTCTGTAAATAATCGAGCCTGGCCCAGACAGTCCAGTGATTGACATCACGAGCATCGATCCACACAATTGATATGCATCAACCAAGTCAACGAGCCTGACCACCCGATCCCGTTAGTCGCCTAGCCTCTTTCGACAAGCGTAGTCGCCTTTAACGGCAAGCATGGGTTGCTGAAGACCTATTCTACCCCGGATCTTCACGGGTCTTCACTTTAATTGTAGATGTAAACTTTAAGTGTATATATAGGTCGGATCAAAGGGTTAGTGTTTCCCAATGTCTGACCTGCCCTAAATGTGTAACAATCTCCATTAATCGTGTTGATGCATATACGCGAAGATGTTCAGATATAGGGGTGAATCGAGTGAGTGAGTTTGGTTTTACGCCGCTTTTAGCAATATTCCAGCAATATCACGGTGGGGGACACTAGAAATGGGATTCACACATGGTACCCATGTCGGGAATCGAACCCGGGTCTTCGGCGTGACGAGCGAACGCTTTAACCACCAGGCTACCCGACCGCCCTCGAAAATGCGTACATTGCAAGACATGGAATTAGGCTAAATCGACTGACTTCAACACCTCACGATAGTTCAACCTTAAGTAGATTTGGTGCTTATTTCACTCTGCTCGAATATTAAGATTGATCCGAGTTTTTGGCACTTATTCAAAGAGCATCTCTGTTAATTCCTTTCCAGCCAGCCAGTTGCTAAATAGCCATTAAGGTGGAATTTGATGCCTGTTAATTTCCGAAAGTACTTACGGTTCCAGGAATAGACGTGTATATCTGGGGAGAAAAACGTTTTGGATGATTAAAAAGACGCACGTATATTAAGAAATTCCTTTCAGGTTGGGGAATACTGTCTCGTCAGAAATAACCTTACGTGTACGCTTTGTTATCAGGCATGGCGCGATGCTGGCAAACAATGTATAATATTATCGTCTTTTATGTCAGTGTGAGAGGCACTAGAGACACCTAACGTGCATCGCGTGTTGTGTGGGTCGGGCGGTGGCGGACCACCCGTGCTGGGAGAAAGTCGCGCCATTTGTATGTGAACTGTGTTGGGTTTTGTCTCACCTTTGATCGACACGCGTTAATAAATGTGATCCGTAACTACTACACATGTTTATTCTTACTTACTTATTTACGAAGGATGGGATGTTGTGTCATGATGACTGATCTTGACAAGTGAGGTTGTCACATAGTGCTGTGGTGGTTGAATGGGATGTGTTGCTGGGTGCGCTTAGCGCTACGACTGTCTTGAGTCTATGTTAAGGTATGGGAGTTACTATCACCTTAGCGCTAAGGTCGCTCTGTACACCGGCAACCTGGTGACTGTTCTAGACAAGTGAGGTGGTGGAATGGGGTGTGTTGCCATGATGACTGTTCTGACAAGTGAGGTGGTGGAATGGTAGGTGATGCCATGATGACTGTGCTGACAAATGAGGTGGTGGAATGGTAGGTGGTGCCATGATGACTGTTCTAGACAAGTGAGGTGGTGGAACGGTAGGTGGTGCCATGATGACTGTTCTAGACAAGTGAGGTGGTGGAATGGTAGGTGTTGCCATGATGACTGTTCTAGACAAGTGAGGTGATGGAATGGTAGGTGGTGCCATGATGACTGTTCTAGACAAGTGAGGTGGTGGAATGGGAGGTGGTGCCATGATGACTGTTCTAGACAAGTGAGGTGGTGGAATGGTAGGTGTTGCCATGATGACTGTTCTAGACAAGTGAGGTGGTGGAATGGTAGGTGGTGCCATGATGACTGTTCTAGACAAGTGAGGTGGTGGAACGGTAGGTGGTGCCATGATGACTGTTCTAGACAAGTGAGGTGGTGGAATGGTAGGTGTTGCCATGATGACTGTTCTAGACAAGTGAGGTGGTGGAATGGTAGGTGGTGCCATGATGACTGTTCTAGACAAGTGAGTTGGTGGAATGGTAGGTGGTGCCATGATGACTGTTCTAGACAAGTGAGGTGATGGAATGGTAGGTGTTCCCATGATGACTGTTCTAGACAAGTGAGGTGGTGGAATGGTAGGTGGTGCCATGATGGCTGTTCTAGACAAGTGAGGGGGTGGAATGGTAGGTGTTGCCATGATGACTGTTCTAGACAAGTTAGGTGGTGGAATGGTAGGTGGTGCCATGATGACTGTTCTAGACAAGTGAGGTGGTGGAATGGTAGGTGTTGCCATGATGACTGTTCTAGACAAGTGAGGTGGTGGAATGGTAGGTGGTGCCATGATGACTGTTCTAGACAAGTGAGGTGGTGGAATGGTAGGTGGTGCCATGATGACTGTTCTAGACAAGTGAGGTGATGGAATGGTAGGTGTTGCCATGATGACTGTTCTAGACAAGTGAGGTGGTGGAATGGTAGGTGGTGCCATGATGACTGTTCTAGACAAGTGAAGTGGTGGAATGGTAGGTGTTGCCATGATGACTGTTCTAGACAGGTGAGATGGTGGAATGGTAGGTGTTGCCATGATGACTGTTCTAGACAAGTGAGGTGGTGGAATGGTAGGTGGTGCCATGATGACTGTTCTAGACAAGTGAGGTGATGGAATGGTAGGTGTTGCCATGATGACTGTTCTAGACAAGTGAGGTGGTGGAATGGTAGGTGGTGCCATGATGACTGTTCTAGACAAGTGAGGTGGTGGAATGGTAGGTGGTGCCATGATGACTGTTCTAGACAAGTGAGGTGGTGGAATGGTAGGTGTTGCCATGATGACTGTTCTAGACAAGTGAGGTGGTGGAATGGTAGGTGGTGCCATGATGACTGTTCTAGACAAGTTAGGTGGTGGAATGGTAGGTGTTGCCATGATGACTGTTCTAGACAAGTGAGGTGGTGGAATGGTAGGTGGTGCCATGATGACTGTTCTAGAAAAGTAAGGTGGTGGAATGGTAGGTGTTGCCATGATGACTGTTCTAGACAAGTGAGGTGGTGGAATGGTAGGTGGTGCCATGATGACTGTTCTAGACAAGTGAGGTGGTGGAATGGTAGGTGGTGCCATGATGACTGTTCTAGACAAGTGAGGTGGTGGAATGGTAGGTGGTGCCATGATGACTGTTCTAGACAAGTGAGGTGATGGAATGGTAGGTGTTGCCATAATGACTGTTCTAGACAAGTGAGGTGGTGGAATGGTAGGTGGTGCCATGATGACTGTTCTAGACAAGTGAGGTGGTGGAATGGTAGGTGGTGCCATGATGACTGTTCTAGACAAGTGAGGTGATGGAATGGTAGGTGTTGCCATGATGACTGTTCTAGACAAGTGAGGTGGTGGAATGGTAGGTGGTGCCATGATGACTGTTCTAGACAAGTGAGGTGGTGGAATGGTAGGTGTTGCCATGATGACTGTTCTAGACAAGTGAGGTGGTGGAATGGTAGGTGTTGCCATGATGACTGTTCTAGACAAGTGAGGTGGTGGAATGGTAGGTGGTGCCATGATGACTGTTCTAGACAAGTGAGGTGGTGGAATGGTAGGTGGTGCCATGATGACTGTTCTAGACAAGTGAGGTGGTGGAATGGTAGGTGGTGCCATGATGACTGTTCTAGACAAGTGAGGTGGTGGAATGGGAGGTGGTGCCATGATGACTGTTCTAGACAAGTGAGGTGGTGGAATGGTAGGTGTTGCCATGATGACTGTTCTAGACAAGTGAGGTGGTGGAATGGTAGGTGGTGCCATGATGACTGTTCTAGACAAGTGAGGTGGTGGAATGATAGGTGTTGCCATGATGACTGTTCTAGACAAGTGAGGTGGTGGAATGGTAGGTGGTGCCATGATGACTGTTCTAGACAAGTGAGGTGGTGGAATGATAGGTGTTGCCATGATGACTGTTCTAGACAAGTGAGGTGGTGGAATGGTAGGTGGTGCCATGATGACTGTTCTAGACAAGTGAGGTGGTGGAATGGTAGGTGTTGCCATGATGACTGTTTTAGACAAGTGAGGTGGTGGAATGGTAGGTGGTGCCATGATGACTGTTCTAGACAAGTGAGGTGGTGGAATGGTAGGTGTTGCCATGATGACTGTTCTAGACAAGTGAGGTGATGGAACAGTAGGTGGTGCCATGATGACTGTTCTAGACAGTTGAGGTGGTGGAATGGGGTGTGTTCCCATGATGACTGCTCTGACAAGTGAGGTGGTGGAATGATAGGTGTTGTCATGGTCCCTGTTCTAGACAAGTGAGGTGGTGGAATGATAGGTGTTGCCATGATGACTGTTCTAGACAAGTGAGGTGGTGGAATGGTAGGTGGTGCCATGATGACTGTTCTAGACAAGTGAGGTGATGGAACAGTAGGTGGTGCCATGATGACTGTTCTAGACAGTTGAGGTGGTGGAATGGGGTGTGTTCCCATGATGACTGCTCTGACAAGTGAGGTGGTGGAATGATAGGTGTTGTCATGGTCCCTGTTCTAGACAAGTGAGGTTGTAGAATGGGGTGTGTTGTCGTGGTCACTGTTCTAGACAAGTGATGTTGTAGAATGGGGTGTGTTGTCATGGTCACTGCTCTAGACAAGTGAGGTGGTAGAATGGGGAGTGGTGCCATGATGACTGTTCTAGACAAGTGAGGTGGTGGAATGGTAGGTGTTGCCATGATGACTGTTCTAGACAAGTGAGGTGGCGGAATGGTAGGTGGTGCCATGATGACTGTTCTAGACAAGTGAGGTGGTGGAATGGTAGGTGTTGCCATGATGACTGTTCTAGACAAGTGAGGTGGTGGAATGGTAGGTGGTGCCATGATGACTGTTCTAGACAAGTGAGGTGGTGGAATGGGAGGTGGTGCCATGATGACTGTTCTAGACAAGTGAGGTGGTGGAATGGTAGGTGTTGCCATGATGACTGTTCTAGACAAGTGAGGTGGTGGAATGGTAGGTGGTGCCATGATGACTGTTCTAGACAAGTGAGGTGGTGGAATGGTAGGTGTTGCCATGATGACTGTTCTAGACAAGTGAGGTGGTGGAATGGTAGGTGGTGCCATGATGACTGTTCTAGACAAGTGAGGTGGTGGAATGATAGGTGTTGCCATGATGACTGTTCTAGACAAGTGAGGTGGTGGAATGGTAGGTGTTGCCATGATGACTGTTCTAGACAAGTGAGGTGGTGGAATGGTAGGTGTTGCCATGATGACTGTTTTAGACAAGTGAGGTGGTGGAATGGTAGGTGTTGCCATGATGACTGTTCTAGACAAGTGAGGTGATGGAACAGTAGGTGGTGCCATGATGACTGTTCTAGACAGTTGAGGTGGTGGAATGGGGTGTGTTCCCATGATGACTGCTCTGACAAGTGAGGTGGTGGAATGATAGGTGTTGTCATGGTCCCTGTTCTAGACAAGTGAGGTTGTAGAATGGGGTGTGTTGTCGTGGTCACTGTTCTAGACAAGTGATGTTGTAGAATGGGGTGTGTTGTCATGGTCACTGCTCTAGACAAGTGAGGTGGTAGAATGGGGAGTGGTGCCATGATGACTGTTCTAGACAAGTGAGGTGGTGGAATGGTAGGTGTTGCCATGATGACTGTTCTAGACAAGTGAGGTGGTGGAATGGTAGGTGGTGCCATGATGACTGTTCTAGACAAGTGAGGTGGTGGAATGGTAGGTGTTGCCATGATGACTGTTCTAGACAAGTGAGGTGGTGGAATGGGAGGCGGTGCCATGCCGACTTTTCTGACTGATGACGTACAGTTGTGGTGTTCGTTGGCTTTGCAGACATTTCGAGTTTTCGCAAGTCCTCAATGACAAATGTCACATTCGCTGATAATGTATGCTGAGTACAAACTGGCGAGAGCACACACACACACACACACACACACACACACACACACACACACACACACACACACACACACACACACACACACACACACACACATACACCGCACCCCGCACCCCTCCCCCTATCAGCTTGGGGGGGGGGGGGCTGGTGCTACATGGGGACATGCAGGCTAAAACAACAGGCTTCTTGTTTAGTCTCCAATACCTTATCCTATACGTTTCATGAGAAATCACGGGGTTGTATATTCTTAAATTATCTGTTTGATGTGTTAAACAAAACGAGACAGGGTTTCTCTGTTGGTTTGTTGGTCATGAGTTTTGGGAGGAATGGGGGATTTATCTCTAAAATGTTCTGAACGTCAGTTCAATTATGATAACATATAACAGTGACTGCTCACACACAAAACACTTTGTTCTATTCTGCTGTGAAATAAGTGCACCAAGTGAAAAATATACATGGGAACCACAACAATTATAACAACAAACATTGTCTTCATGTCTGTATTGGTATTATCAAAAAGCGGTTCATGGATAAGATTTCACACCAAGCCTTGGCCAACATAAGTGAATTTGTTTTTTCTTAAAACAGGCATTGGACAATACTTGCCGTTAGAGGCGACTATGCTTGTCGTAAAAGTGACTAACGGGATCCGGTGGTCAGGCTCACTGACTTGGTTGATGCATGTCATCGTATCCCAGTTGCGTTTATCGATGCTCATGATGACAATCACTGGATTGTCAGGTCCAGACTCGATTATTTAAAGACCGCCGTCATATAGCTGGAATACTGCGGCGTTAAACAACAATCAAACAAATAAACAAACCTTTGACCATGATTCAATAATTTCTAACTATGCAATGGTGCTCTTTTTAGTAGATAGCAACACTCTGCCAAATATCCAGGGGATGATCCTGCCAGGGCCGCAGTCCTCAGTCCGGCGCCCCGTAAGTAAGTCTATGGTAAAATATGGCTGTTACTTTTGATTATTTTTTTATTGTTGTTTAACGCCATACACGGCAATATTCCAGCTATGTCACGGCGGTCTGTAAATAATCGAGTCTGGACCAGGTAATCCATGACTGACATCACGAGCAACGATCCACGTATTTGGAATACGATGCCATGCATCAACCAAGTCAGCTAGTTTGACCACCTGATCCCGTTAGTCGCCTCTTACGACAAGCATAGTCTCCTCTAACAACAGGGGGCACGGTTGGCCCAGTCGTCTAAGGCTGTGCAGAGTTGTGTCCCTTGCGCATGCCAGAAACCTATGATTGTGGGTTCGAATCCCGGTTCGCTCCAATTATGTTTCTAGGTTTGTCAGCACCAAACCCTTGCTCATGGGTTTCACCGAAGTGGTAAATGTCTGAGACCTCATCACCTCAACCACATTAAGCTGAAACGCCGCGATATGACTGGAATACTGTTAAAAGCGGCGTTAAACCCAACTCACTCACTCACTCACTCACTCACTCCTTCAACAATGGGTTGCTGAAGATCAATTCTAACCCGATTCTTCACGGGTGTATGGCAGTGTATGTGACGTCGCCAAACTGTTGTGACACACGATATCGCCCAAGCTGTGACGTCAAGTACCGCTTTGGCTAACTCTCCCAAGACTGTTACCCAGACGTCCTCTGCCGGTGAGTGACCGCTCCCTAATAACAAGCATGAGAGGCGAGCAGCCATTTTCGTACTTTCAGTCAATCCCCTGTACACGCCTGGCCGATGTCCCCATTATGACGGAACAATGATTTACCAAACCTATCTCGTGACAAATGTGTTCTCAATCTATACCTGGACATGAAATGACCGATATCGCGTAGTTTGTTGACACGAGCTTCACAGGTCAGTAACTTGAACATCCTAATATGGTGCTACCCAAATAATGGGCTTCACACCTGGTACCCGTTTAAGGGATAGAACACGTGTCTGAACACGTCCACCCATGGACTATTACCACACCCGGACACCCTTACACCCGAACACCCTGACACCCTGACACCCTAACACCCTAACACCCGAACACCCTGACACCCTAACACCCTAACACCGATAAATGTATAAAAGAATTTGGCTTTTTGCTTGTATATGGTATCCATTGTATGTCCACCCCTCAAAAAGCGAACCAGAGGAATCTGACCTTGTTATTATAACAGGATGTGAGTTCTATCTTAGTTCACGTGTTCTTGTGATACCAGGACTCACGTACGCATCTATTTCGCACAAATGAATCTACTCAGAATAGCCCTGAGAGCTGTATGTCTTCACAAGCCACGTGTTCTGGACTATCTTAAACATAGGAATCTACTCAAGAATAGACATGAGAGCTGCGTGTCTTCACAAACCCGGTGTTCTGGACTATCTTAAACATTGGAATCTACTCCAGCATTGACCTGAGAGCTGCGTGTCTTCACAAGCCACGTGTTCTGGACTATCTTAAACCTAGGAATCTACTCCAGAATAGACTTGAGAGCTGCGTGTCTTTACAAACCACGTGTTCTGGACTATCTTAAACATTGGAATCTACTCCAGCATTGACCTGAGAGCTGTATGTCTTCACAAGCCACGTGTTCTGGACTATCTTAAACCTAGGAATCTACTCAAGCATTGACCAGAGAGCTGCGTGTCTTCACAAGCCACGTGTTCTGGACTATCTTCAACACAGGATTCTACTCCAGAATAGACTTGAGAGCTGCGTGTCTTCACAAGCCACGTGTTCTGGACTATCTTAAACATAGGAATCTACTCAAGCATTGACCTGAGAGCTGCGTGTCTTCACTAACCCGGTGTTCTGGACTATCTTAAACATTGGAATCTACTCCAGCATTGACCTGAGAGCTGCGTGTCTTCACAAGCCACGTGTTCTGGACTATCTTAAACATAGGAATCTACTCCAGAATAGACTTGAGAGCTGCGTGTCTTTACAAACCACGTGTTCTGGACTATCTTAAACATTGGAATCTACTCCAGCATTGACCTGAGAGCTGTATGTCTTCACAAGCCACGTGTTCTGGACTATCTTAAACCTAGGAATCTACTCAAGCATTGACAAGAGAGCTGCGTGTCTTCACAAGCCACGTGTTCTGGACTATCTTAAACATAGGAATCTACTCAAGAATAGACATGAGAGCTGCGTGTCTTCACAAACCCGGTGTTCTGGACTATCTTAAACATTGGAATCTACTCCAGCATTGACCTGAGAGCTGCGTGTCTTCACAAGCCACGTGTTCTGGACTATCTTAAACCTAG